GAAACCTAAAAGTTAGGTTTGTATTCTTAAGTGTAGTTTTACATAAAAGTGGCATGCTGAGATTTAGTGTTTCAGAAGTGTGGTCAGCAGAATGGATTAAAGAGAGGACTGAAGCAAAGATCCTGGGTAGGAGAGTGTTGCCGTGCTCAAGGCAAGCAATGCAGGTGGCCTGAAAGCACCTGCAGTTTGAAAAAAAAAAAAAAAGATTTGAGAGACATTTAGAAGACAGACTGGTGGGGACTTGGGATTGCCTGGAACACAGGGGCTACTAAGACTAATGCCTTTTCTTTGATGACAGATGATTTCACTGGTACGCCGCATCATTTTCCTATATAAACCCAACATGTGCACATATCATCTAAGATGTCCAGTTTTGGTTTCTTTCAAGTGAAACAGCATCTTGAATACACTTGTAAAATAATCTGAATACAGCTTTTTTTATATTTCTACTAAGTTTTCCCTAGGCTTTACCAGTGTTTTGCTCACAATGAACTCAATGGCAGTCTTAGGTACTCATCTTCAACAAGTATTCTTACTAAGTTGTAGCCACTTATTTTCAACAAGATTTTCAACTTAGTTTGCATAGCAATATCAACTCTCTCTCTCTTTTTTTTTTGCACTCACACATCATTATTTCCCATATTATTTCATTAAATAATGTATTGTACATGGATGGAGCTAGAGGGTATTACGTTCAGTGAAATAAGCCAGGCGGAGAAAGATAAATACCAAATGATTTCACACATCTGTGGAGTATAACAACAAAGCAAAACTGAATGAACAAAACAGCAGAAGATTAGCAGACTCCAAGAAGGGATTAGTGACTATCAAAGGGAAGGGGGTAGAGAGGATGGGTGGGGAGGGAGGGAGAAGGGGATTAAGGGGCATTATAATTAGCACACATAAGAAAGGTAGGTCACGGGGAATGCAGTATAGCACAGAAAAGGCAAGAAGTAAGTCTATAGCACCTTAGTACCCTGATGGACAATGACTGCAGTGGGGGGAGACTTGATAATATGGGTGAATGTTGAAACCACAATGTTGCTCATGTGAAACCTTCATAAGATTGTATAGCAGTGATACCTTAATTAAAATAATAATAATAATGTAGTTGTAATAGCAAATGTAAGTGCCTTACACAGGGTTAGGAAAAATCACAATGGACCCTTACAAAGCACACAACTCAACTGGAGGAGCAGAAGTGCAGGTGTGCACAAGAGGAGCCATTAGTCACAAGCATTCACTGCCGTGTGCATAAGCTGGCATGCTTTTCCTCACTTAGGGTTCCAGCCTTGCTGGCCTCCTTGCATTCCTTACACATTCCCATCTCAAGGCCTTTGCTTTTGCCACTTCTGCTACTTGGGACTCTCTGCCTCCAGATGTCCACATAGCCTGCTCCCTCACTTCATTCAAGTGTCTGCTCAAATGTCACCTTCTTAGCAAACCCTTCCCTGACGACCCTATTTAAGCTAAATGCTTTCATCATTTCCAGCTTTACTTTTCTTCACAGTATTTACTACCACCTGATTTTTTTTGTTTCATTTGTTTCTGTTAAATAAAATGTAAGTACATGGATTTAGTTTTGTTTACTGTACTCTCCCTTGTACCTAGGACAGTTCCTGGTTCACAGCAGACACTCAATAAGTATTTGTTAAATGAATGCTGTGGAACGAGCGTTTGACACATGGAAATTGTCAGCTAATCAAATGGAATAGCTATTTGGCAATGCTCTATGGGCCAAAAAGGATCGAAAAGGAGGCTCTACATCTACGAGGACCCGAGCTTCCTTTCCCTCAGGACCGATCCCAGGGAGGTGCCCTGTGGCTTTGGGACAACCTCAGTATCAAATTAAAGAGCTAGAGAAGAAAGTCTAAGGAATAGAAAGAAGGTGTGGAGAAAAGAATTACCATTAGATCCCCAAAAGTCAGGAGCAAAAGTTTTTTTTGCATGAAAATCAACTGTAAACACTGAGACATGTTTTTCTCTGGGAGATTCAGCTCACTGAGCTCAGGACACTAATAAGAAAGTGAAAAGGAAACACAGAATAGGAGAAATATTTGCAAATAATATTTCTCATAAGCGATTAATATTCAGAATATATGAAGAACTCCTACAAATCAGTAACAAAAAAAGAAAAAAAATCTAACTTGGAAGTGGACAATGGACCTTCATAGACTTCTTCTCCAAAGAAAATATTCAAATGGGCAATAAAAACAAGAACAATACTCAAGATCACTAGTCCTCAAGGAATGCAAATCAAAACCACTGGGGGATACTACTTCCTATCTATCATGTTGGCTATAAGAAGTGGAAAATAACAAATGTTGTCCATGATGTGAAGTGACAGGAATATGTAAAATGGTGCACCCACTGTGTTATTAAACAGTATGGTGGTGCCTCAAAAGGTTAAACATAGAATTACCATATGACCCAGCAATGACACTTCTAGGTATGTGCCCAAAGTAACTGAAACGGGGTCTCAAATAGGTATTTCTGTGCCAATGTCTACTGCAGTATATTTACAAAGCCAGAAGGTAGAAACAACCCAAATCCCCATCATCAAATGAATGGATAAACAAAATGTGGTATAAATATACAATGGAATATTATTCAGCTTTAAAAAGGAATAAATTATGATAAATGCTACAAAAAAGGGAAGAAAAAGAAAATCAGTAAGACAATCCAAATAACCCATAGTCAGTTAAAGGCAAAAATATGTAAGTAACTATAGAAAAAAAGGCAATATGCTATATGATAAGTACCATATAAGAGATCCAGTAAAAAGACAAAGTTCAGAGAATTGAGAGTTGATGTGTCAACCCTGTCCCAGGAAGCTGGACTGATTTCATCTTAACTCACTCCACACCACTTACTGAGCCCCCAATCTAAATCTTCTACCAAAGAATCCATGTGAAAAATACACAAGGAGGGACAGGAGGGAACAAGTCACGTGAGGGCTGTTAGAATGGCACAGTGGCTTTTTGGCCACTTAATCCAGCTAGCACCACGAGAGGTAGCACCCAAGAAATCAGTCTGCCTAGGTTTGAATCCTACTCTTTCCCAACTACTCTGTGACCTTGGACAAGTTAAATTTCTCTCTGAAGCCTCTAAGTATCTCCTTATTAATGACTGTAAAGACTATAAATTAAACTCAGCATTATAAAACACAGCAGCGTCCAGTATAAAGCAGATGCTCAATAAACTTAAGTTTAGTATGATGAAGATGAATGCTCAGTACACACTGGTGGTTAACTTTGAACACCACCTATTTTTTTTAATTTATATACTTATACCCTGTTTCTCCCCCAGAAAGGTTCAAGGTAATCTATAGCAAATTATGTATGTGTATGTGTACATATATACATACACATTTTCTTTTAAAGAAACAGAATCTAAAAGTCATGAGAAGAAGAAGGAAGTAAACACGTCTACCACTCAAACTGACTTAAGGAACTTCTGCGCAACAACCAAGGCAAAAGTAAAACCCATGAGTTGCATAATTCTTACTTAGCAAAAGGCTACATAATAATTGAAAAGAGCTATACTTCCCTCTGATAATGAATCCTAAAATGAGTATATCACATAGGACCTTACGCAAAACATATTTGGGACCCCCCAGATCAGCGACTTCAAAAATAGTATTATTTTTAGTAAATGTAAAACCTATCAGAGCCACTATTAATAAAAGCTAAGGATATAACATAAAAAATTAATTCTGTACAGACAATTCTACTGGACCCTTAAGTAATACAAATAAGTTATGAACATTCAAATAGAAGCCCAAAGACTTATGGCCATATGTTTACTATTGTAACTATATAACTTAATGAATAAAGAAACTGATGAAATGAGNGTAATACAAATAAGTTATGAACATTCAAATAGAAGCCCAAAGACTTATGGCCATATGTTTACTATTGTAACTATATAACTTAATGAATAAAGAAACTGATGAAATGAGTTTAAAAAAAATTTGCTCTTGTTATGAAAACTAAGTAATTGAAAATAAGAAATACTTGTTGAAAATGAGCAGCTAAGACATACTGCCATTGAGTTAACTATGAACAAGGCCTACAGGAGAAATTCAGAGAAATATAAAAAAAATGTAAAATTCAGATTGTTCTATAGGTGTATTGAAGATGTTCCACTTCAAAAAAAAACTGCACATCTTAGATGATGTTATGTGCAAGGTTGGTTTACGCAACAAAATGACGGACGTTTTCATGTCTGCTGGGTAGAGACCTAGGAGTGAAATAGGTAGCTCATTTGACCCGTTTTTGTTTGTCCATTCACTTGTCAGTGGGCATGTGGGTTGTCTCCAGTTTGGTGCCATTACGGATAAAGGTGTTATGAACATGTACAAGTCTTTGTGTGGACATACATTTTCACTTCTCTTGGGTGAATATCTAGGAGTTCAATTTTTTTAGACAGAAAGAGACAGATATAAAGAACTTCTAGCGTGAAAAGCCATCAAATAATTCCATTCATGGAACCAGCCAGAGGACAATGCGGTTATCTGGGGAAAGGAGAAAGCTACTCTAAGAAACAGAAAACCAAGAATGTGGAGAGAACGACAGGTCAGAAAATAGTAAATCCACAGTCGATGCACAAGTGTGGAAGGAATCTGGAATCTGGGATGTTGAGAGTAAAACCATGTGGAATTTGGGGGCCGAAAGGGGCAGATACTCACTAGAGACAACCCCGAGAAACAAATTAGGTACTGGTTAGGTATCTTATCCGAAACAAATTAGGTATCTTATCCGCCGTTCTGCGGCAATCTCTGCTCTAAAATCACCTCGTCCCCTTCCCCGACCCACGCGGCCCACCCTACCCAAACGGGCTACACACTCACGACGGCAACACGCGCCCTCTGCGAGCAGGCGCTACCCTCTGCCGCCAGGGCCCAGCCTACAAGACCCAGAAGGCAACGCGATCGCCTTCGGCGGCGACGGAGTCGGGGAGTCCCCGGCCCCAGGTCCAGGAGTGCGCTCGCAGCCTACCTCGGAGCTCCGGGAGCCCTTCAGCACCTGCTTGGTGAGCGCGATCACGTCGGTACCACAGGTGTTCACCTTCTCCGTGAGAAGCCCCTTCACGGACTGACCGAATCGCGCTTGCGAATCTGGCGTCCCAGTCGCCATTACTTCAAGTAGTGAATGCCTCCGCACAGGGCGACGGCGAGGCGCCGGGGCCAAAATTCTCAAAGCGGAAGGAAACGAGGAGGTGCCTCTTCCTGCGATGTAGAAAGGAAGGTGCCTGTGCCCGCTGGAGGTTGATATTTGCTAACTTCAAATTCATTTAAAATACTCAGTTGATATCCTGAGGAAGACAGGGCTCAGACAAACATCTCTGAAGGGATGGGGGACAACTTCAGTAAATGCATGGTTTAGTATCAAAACGCCTGATTACAGCCCCACTTAAACCGTTTAGTGTGGTAACTGATAGATGTATGACTGCTCATTACTCAACCTCTGCGGTGCGCCTTGTGCTCCTCATCAGTAAGAGAGAATAATGTTAAAGTCTCCAAAGGGTTACGAGAATGAATTAAAATAGTTCAGTTAAGTTTTAATAAACATTTCATGAACTAAGCAGCAAAATTTACTAGGCAGAGGATACAGAAAGAAATTGAGATATAGCCCTTGTCTGCAAAGAGCTCCCAGGCTGATGAGGTGTGTAAACAAAGGAACTAGAAAGAACAATCTATTTAAAAAACTGGCAAAGGACATAAATAATAATTAAAAAAAGAAATCCAAGCGCCTCTCGAAGGGGGTAAGATATAAAAAAAGAAATCCAAATGGCCAATAAATTTGAAAAATGCTCAACTCACTAGTGATTGTTAATGATAAATGACCTCTCTGTTCTATTAGAAGTAACCTGATTATCACCTTGCAGATGAATTAACGTGTGCAATGTTTCATATAGCTCTATTTCTTTTTTAGCTAATGCAACAGTCATACGAGAATATTGCAAATTTTGTTCAAAATCACCTGTACTCAGTATCAACCTTCCTTTCTCTTCCAAATGTCTAGATTCATGTCAACGTCGATTCTTTAATTCTTCCTCTTAATCAACTTCTTTGAATTATAAATTACATGCAACAGTCTTTTCAAGTGCACAATTTGATGAGTCTGACAGATATATGTGTGATCCACCACCCCTATTAAGATACAGAACATTTCCATCACCCCCAGAAGTTTCCAAGTGCCCCTTTACAGTCCATCCATCCAGGCAGCAACTGACTTCTTTCTAGCACAACAATTAATTTGAATTAATACAGATAATCATACTATAGTGATATAGATAATCAAAGGAAGTATTCTCTTTTTTGTCTGGCTTCTTTCTCTCAGCATAATGATTTTGAGAGTCATCCGTATTGTTGTGTGATTCACTAGTCTTCCTTTTTATTGCTGAGAAATATCCCATCATATGGATATATCTCATTTTGTTTATCTGCTCACCTGTTGATGAACATTTGGGTTACTTCCATTTGGGGGCAATTAGAAATAAAGCTCTACGAACAATCATATACAAGTCTTTATATGGGTTGTTTTACCTGTGTACTTCCAATGATTGGGATGGCTGTGTAATATGTCAAGAAACTTACAAACCATTTTCCAAAGTTGTTCACCATTTCACATCCCCAACATCAGTGTAGGGGAGTCCAGTTGCTCTATACCCATAAACTTAGGAAAAGATGAATCGGTCTGTACCTACGGTGATAAGTAGTCATCTGTGGTAGACCAGCCACTGACAGGTGGCTTCCATGACCCCCACCTGCTGGTGTTCATGCCCTTGTGTGACCCCTTTCTCTTTCATGTGGGCATGATCTGTGACTTGCTACAAACCAATAGAATATGGGTAGGTAGTGGGAGATACATAATTACATGTACGTGATTTTATTTTTATTAAAATATCACTGATATGCAATCTTGTGAAGGTTTCACATGAATAACGTTGTGGTTTCAACATTCACCCATATTATCAAGTCCTCACCACCCCCCATTGCAGTCACTATCAGCATAATAAGATACTATAGACTCATTACTTGTCTTCTCCATGCTGACATGTACATGATTATCATGATGACATTTACAAAGACCGTATGGCCCATCTTTCTGGATCTCTCTCTCTTCCTTGCTGGCTATGAGGAAACAAGTGCCCATGCTGGAGAACGCCACATGGCAGTTCGTTGTGAACAACATCTAGTCACTGAGGGCTGAGTCACAGAACACAGAAATAATAAGATAATAAATGTGTTGTTTTAAGCTACTATGTTTGTGGTAATATTGTTATACAACAATAGAAAACTAATATACCACCAGTACTTGTTTGAAATCTGTTCAGCCAATGACAGTTTACTTCAGTGAATGCCTTTTGGAAATCAAGCTTTCAGTGTCTGCCCCTCACTCCTGAAAAGTCAGTCATCCTGGAACAGATTCATGCCAATAATCACCCCTGGGAGTGCCATCAATCAATAATAGCCTCACCCAAGCAAGGACACTTCTCCAGATGATATCAACCTACTTACGTTCATCAAGCCCTGAAGTCCATGCTTCCTGAAAACTATTATGATCAGCAGACTACTCTGCTTGGAGAGACTGCCAGTTCTCCTTTATTATAGCAAACAATAAATTCAATTTTGTCTTATTTTATTTATTGAGCTATAGTCTTATCATCTTTTGAAAATTCTAGAGGTTCCACCAAGATCATTTTGAAGACCGTTACTTGGCAGCATCCCAGGGGCCTTTGGGTCAACAGGTGCACTCACTGGATCCCTTATGTCCTATCTCTGTCCTTCAGATCACCTGCCATATGAGTTGGTCTCAACAAGAATTTGAATTCTGACTAGTTTCATTGAGCTCTTCTTGCTAAATGCATTTTGTTATCCAATGATAGGTAACCAAATGGGTCTTTGTATAAACTCATTAGACTCAGTTCTCTGTATAAGGCAGTTAGGCCTGGACTTTTGTATTAAATATTCGGGTTTGGAGATGCACCATTTAGTTATTTAATCTAGGTGTTTGTATAAGGTTATTAGACCTTTATATGGTTGTATATTGTTTGATAAATATTTCTGCCATTAACATGATAACTCACCTGCTGCTTACCTTACTTTTGCTGTTATTTGTCTCCGCACAGAGTTACATTTCAAGGGATTTTCCTTTTCCCAGTATTATATTTTTTCTTTTGAATTTATAAGGCTGTGTTCCACAGAGAATAGATGGAATCATAGGCACTAGAATTTCCAACTCAATCCAAACTGGCTCTTGAGGATTAAAGTTGAGGTCTGTTAGACCAGAGACTGGCTAATGTTACCCACATGTAGTAAATCCCTTTCACTAACTGAAACTACCCAATATTTTTCTACTAGTTGATTAATTATGAATTGTTGTTTCATTCTCTGTCTCATGTTATCATCTGCTGGTATAACTTTCTTAATTTACAAATGCTATAATCTTTATCCAATGAAGGAGAATGCTAGATTGTGTTTTGGTAACTCAAGAAGTATCCATGACCAGAACAGAACTTTTGGACACAACAGTACTAAATCTTGAATAAAATATTGTTTGTTGATTGACCTCTTAGTAAATGTAAAAAGTGACCGTACCAGGCTTGATAAAGGTCACCTAGTCGCCCTTGTAAAATCCAATTCCTTTCCAGAAGTCAAATTGTCCAAATAACTGAACTGTGGACCTTTCTAGGGCATATCAAAATACTCAAAAGGGTCGATACATACCCTAGTAGCTGGTATGCCTTTAAAACTACTCACTTCTTTAAAATGCAATTTTTAAAGGTTTTTAAAAAGTTCCTCAGAAACTTTAAAAAAATTAATAACAAATGTGAATTACCTGATGTTTTGAAACTACCAAAATAATTTCTGGTCCTAAAAGTAGAGAGTCACAGTATTACAGAAACTGTAATACTACAAACTTACTTTAAAGATAGTGGTGCTATTTACAATAGCCAAGAAATAGAAACAACCTAAGTGTCCATCAGTAGATGAATGAATAAAGAAGATGTGGTACATATACACAGTAGAATATTATTCAGCCATAAGAAGAAAACAAATCCTACCATTTGCAACAACATGGATGGAGCTAGAGGGTATTATGGTCAGTGAAATAAGCCAGGCAGAGAAAGGCAAATACCAAATGATTTCACTCATATGTGGAGTATAAGAACAAAGAAAAACTGAAGGAACAAAACAGCAGCAGAATCACAGAACTCAAGAATGGACTAACAGTTACCAAAGGGAAAGGGACTGGGGAGAATGGGAGGGAAGGGAGGGATAAGGGCGGGGAAAAAGAAAGGGGGTATTACGATTAGCATGTATAATGTGGGGGGGGCATGGGGAGGGCTGTGCAACACAGAGAAGACAAGTAGTGATTCTACAACATCTTACTACACTGATGGACAGTGACTGTAATGGGGTTTGTGAGGGGGACTTGGTGAAGGGGAGGCCCTAGTAAACATAATGTTCTTCATGTAATTGTAGATTAATGATAACAAAAAAAAAAGTGGAATTCTTATAAGCTTCCAGTCTGAATTGTGGTATAAAGTAACACAAAATGTTTTACACTAATCATTTGTCAACACTGAGACCAAATTAAAACTGTAACAAAGACTTGGTGAATAAACCCAAAGAAGATTTCTTTGAAAAGTTAAAACTTCTGCAAAGCCAAGAAAAATTTAGAAAATGCAGTATTTTAACAACTATGAATTACCAAAATTGACCTAAAGACTCAAAAGAGTTGAGGAGACCAATAACTATGGAAAAAAACAGCAATTATGTTAAAGAATTATCTGTCCAAAAAAGTCACTAGGACCTGACACTTCTCATGTCCTTTATTTAGAACTTCAAAGAATAGAAAATTCTCCTGCTATTTAATCTGCTTTAGGATCTAGAAAAAATTGAAAGTCTCTCAATAACTTAATAAAACTAGTAAAATCATAATACCATAATATGATGATGCATAAATAAGAAAACTACAAATTTTTCATATGATGAGAGATGCAAAAGAAATAAAATCCTAAGTAAATTACAAAGAGTATTCAATTTAAAAAAAAAGTAGACACTCTAGATAAATTACAGTTCTTCTAGGAGTGATTGAATACCAAGAAATCTGTTAATATAATGCACCTCATAAATACGTCAATATTTGTCACAGCCTTTTTTTTAATTGAAGTATTGTTGATATACAATC